GCTAGTGGGCAGAGGATCGTAGTGGTTGCGACCCCAGCTGAGAATCACAATGGAAGCCATGCAGACTATGCTAGCCAACACTCCAGTCAAGGCGGCCTAAAGGGATTAGAGTGATTAGGGATTAGAGAAACTGTTCTTTCAGAAACTCCTCCAACTCACCTTGCTATGGGACTTTGGAATTAACATTCCCAGCATGAAAACACCGCAGGTTGAACCAAAGCTAACGCCTCCAATCGAATAGATGACCTGCAGAATCGAGTTGAAGTTCTCCACCACCATGCCACCAAAAATGCAGTAAATTCCGGCGAAGAGAACAAACAGCTTCATGATCACATTGGCCCGGTGCTCCGTGTGTCGAATGTGGGGCTTAATGTAGTCGAAGTACACCACTCCGCCCAAGGAATTGATGCTGGCGGACAAGGTGCTGAGGGCAGCACTGAACACGCAGGAGATGAAGACACCCGGCATGCCCCACAAATGTCCCACGGTGTCCTGCACGAAGTAGGGAACCATCTTGTCCACCTTGGAGACATGTCCCGACTCAATGGGATCGCAGTCGTGGAAGCGCGAGTAGATCACAATGCCCGTGAAGCAGTTGAAGAACATGATCAGGATGAAGCCGAAGCCGAAGAGCACCAGGGATCTCCTGGCGTGACCCAGTGATGGCAGGGAGACAATTCGCTGGACGCAGCTCTGGTTGAGACCCACGTAGCCAGACCACATGATCGTCGCCGATGTGAAAATGTTCCAGATGGTGGAGCGCGTGGTCAGATCGAAGTTGTAGTTGATGTCCAGTCGTCCACCCTCACCCGCAATACGAAGGACTTCGGAGAGGCCACCCACTCGATTGGCACCCATAACGCCCACCAGAACGACTGAAACCACCATAATGGCAGCTTGGATGACATCGGTCCATACTACGGCCTTGATTCCTCCCTAAAAGGTAGCAAAAAGAAGGTTAGTCTGTTGATTTCTATAAATTCACTTTTTTACCCTTGCAGAGGGTATTATAATTTCAGTCAAAACTTTCCGACCACATAAAGTATACATATTCTTGATCCTATTGATGCTAATAGCCGAGTACATCTAACCATGTCCGCCTGTCCGTCTGTCAGTCCGTCCGTCTGTCCGTTTCTATGCGAACTAGTCTCTCAGTTTTTTTAAAGTTATCTCGATGAAACTTCCGCAAAAGTCTTCTTTCTATTACAGGTAGTACATATGTCGGAACGAGCCGGATCGGACCACTTTATCTTATGGCTCCCATAGGAATAATAAAAAAATAGAAAAAAATTGTAACTTTGAAGGAAGTAGGTGTTTTGATTTTTGACAATTTAAAAACAACCTTTAAAATAGGCATACCTGCAAGAGTAAATAAACTTCGGTTGGCCGAACTTCCTTTCTTATTTAAATATAGAATTTATTCTATATTAGTAACTTAAAACTTAAGGTTGGTTAGATTTTACAGTTAAATCTATTTTATCTTTAATGCAATAGTTTCCAAAAGGTTTTTGAATTTACTTTTTTAAAGGGTTTAAATGGATAACTTAAAAGCTTTCGTAAATTAGTTTCTTGTAATCCTAAATATTTAAAAAATACATAGTTATACTCACAAACATGGTGTAGAAGACGCAGATGCTGCAGACAACGGTGTTGATGATGTGCACATTATATCCAGTCACTAAGGAATAATAATTATTAAAGACCGTAGGAAGGATTACCGTAGATATGATGGACTTACCTTGAGCAAAAGCCAGTGAAGGCAGGAAAATAAAGATGGGCAGCATGAAGAACATGGTCATTATAAAGATGAAAGTCTGCATCACGCGCACCTCCCGGCAGAAACGCATCTCCAAGTACTAGGAAAACATAATCTTTAAGTCGGAGTTCCATTGGAAAACCTATATAACAGGGCTTACCTCGTAGCAGTTTGTGATGTTGTTGTTATAGAAGACAGGGATCACCACGTAATTTAGCAGGGGAACCACTACAATCATGCAAACCACATTGAAAAACCAATTGATTCCGTAGGCATACATTTCCGCCGGAATGGTCATGATGGAGATGGCCGACAATTGACTGGCCACCAGGGAGATGGCAATGGGAATCGTCTTCATCCGCTTGCCGCCCATCAGATACTCCTCCGTGGTGTCCGCTCCCTTGGCGAAGAATCCAAAGTAAACTCCGATGGCGGCGGAAATGCTCAGCATCAGGGCGAAAACGGCGTAGTCCGTGGAGTTGAAAATGAACTGGGAGTCGGGAGCCACAACGGTGGCAGCGGTTGCCACAATGGTGGCGTTCAAAAGCGAGGACATTTTTGGGAGGAATCCTCGAATCACTGGAACCACACTAATTAGTATTCACTTTCCGGCTCCCGGCAGCGGAGAATCACGATTAAGCTCATCACGGCCACGGATCCGTCTTTATATAAGGTTCTGGGTTCCAGATTATCTCCGGAATTGCCCGCTCTAAATATTATCTATCGACGGCGCTCTCGCGTACGACCTTATCAGATGGTGGTATTATCTATCTAGGATCTTAAGACCCCTCTATCAATTCCTCCTCCTCCCAGCGGGAGAGCGATAAGAGCTCCTGACTTGCCTGAGATTACGTAATGTCATTCATTGTTTTCGCTGTCATCCAAGTAGAGAAGCTGTGTGTTTACATTGATATCACCATTACAATCCTGCTGAGAACCCGCCAGTCATCCGGGCTTTCAGCCAGTCATCTTGGGAGCAGTTCACGTGAGGTGAACTCTCTACTTGAGATCGTATTCCGGAATTGGCCCCAGACAAGGCCACCTCCAATGGTTGATGCTTATCGAGAGCTTAGGGATAGAGTTTTATCGGCTTATATAATGAGTTTCCAAAAGTAACGGAGATAACTACTATTGCTTTTCATGGGCATGGGAGATAGTGTTTGAATACTGATTCTTATCAAGTGTTTTACTGAAGATCATTAACCTAGTTGTATTACCCTGCTGTTGCTGGGATTCAAGTAAATAACCATATAGATTTTATAGATCTGAAGCTATATTAAGAGCTAGGTTAAGGTTTAAGTTACTTTAATCTTTATTTGTACTAAGTAGGTAGATGAGAATTTAAATTTCACCATTGCTGGTAAATTCGAGAATGGTGGGAGTACAGACATAAGCACGTGAACCTATTTACCTCTCAATTATATTTAACATTTAAATTTGACATGTAATTTAACGACGTAGGAACGGAAACAACAGTTAATAAAAATTATTTGTATGGTATTTAGTATATCACAGTTTATGGAAACACGTGAGGTTGTTGGTTATAAAATAATTAAATAAGACGAATGGTGCGTTTGACGACTTGAGAATGACTAAATTGAAACGAGGGAGTTGGGAGAGACATTCCGTTACATTTAGATTAACATATGATCTTCATCTCTCTATTATCTTAAGCAAACATAGCTCATCATATCATTTACATATGATTTGAAACTTTGAAGGTTGGTTAACATTATTTAATAAGGAAATAATTTTAGAATATCAGTTCTTAAACGGTTATAAGTATTTTAATTTTTTATTGCCAAATCGTTAGTGGTCGTTAAAAATCATATGCAACTGATTTTATTAGCAATTTTTTTCTGCGGTGGCTACGATGCCGTAATCGGCGGATTCCATGGCTTCCACTTCATTTGGCGGCTCATCTGCCAGTGCATCGTTTTGGGTGCACCTCCATATATGTATGTGGATGGCCATCCACCTCGGCACGCATCTAATTGGGCAATCCTAATGACGCCGAATGTTGGTTAAGTGGCTGCAGCTTCAACTTAAGCTTGAGCTTCAGGCTTCCACTTCATTTATAGCTTGAGCCGCAACTCCAACTTCAGTTTGTGGTAATAGTTGATGTCCATCGACTCATCCTCCCCTCGGCCTCTTGGCCCCTTCCCCTTCTCCGTCCGCTGCATTTGGCCCAGAGTCTCGACTGCATCTGTCGCAATATTCGCGTAATGAGCGCCCCTCCGGCTCCATGCCATCTGGCCATCCGCATCCCCATCTTCATCTACATCTTCCATTTCGAGCACTTCGACACGACAGCCATTGAAGTTGAGAGTACTCCATACACAGCAAAAAAGTTGTACGCGTTATAAATAAATAGAAAAAAACAAATAGAAAATCATTTTTATAATTAGGGTTATAGAAGAAATCATCAGAGATTAGGTGTGCGCTAGTTTTATTTTTCCTATTTGTGTAATCACCTAGTGTGACACAAATCCTTTTGACAAAGTTTTTACAACTGCAATTATAAATTTTATAGAAATCTTTTGCTTTTATAAGTGGCCAAAAATAATTGTTAAAATCCTCCCCAAAGGTTTTGCTCAGTGTACCTGAGGATAGGGCAGGGGTTACGGCTACCTCATCATCGAGTTAAAAAGTGAAAGGATTTTTGAAGATGTTTGGCTTGGTATTTAATAAACTCACATGAGGCCAGATGACAACTGGCTTTTTGGAGAGCTGCGAACTCGTTCAATTGGAATTGGTCTATGTGAATGGATTGTCATTACGAGATCGAGATCATCGAGTGTTTTTGGAGGTAAACAATGGGAAATGGGGTCACTTGCTTTAATGATGCAGATCACGATGGCTACTAATTTCAGTAACTCCCCATTGATATAAAAATAAAAACAATGCAGTAATTTAACGGTGACAAAATTTACTATTTTTTTTATTGTTTTCATATTTTTTTTGTTGTTTCTTTGTTTGTTTCATATAAAATAAAAACACTTACGAGCTAATAATGCGTTATAACACTGTCTGGGGTTGTTTTTCCATCTTGGTGTTGTGGGTGTTGTGTTTTGTGGCCTTTGCTTTCGGATTTTCTTGTATTCGTGTAGTGTGAGATAACTATTTACAAGGGTTACAAAAAAAGTCCAAAGCAAAGCCCCGAATTTGAGATTCGTTGAGGGTACGAGCCGAAATTCGATATAGGGTTTGGTGTTGGGGGTTCCTGGGGTCTGTGGAGTGTGGAGTGTGTTTCGGGGAACTGAGAGGTACAGTCGCTGAGTTTTGGAAGGGGGCTTGAGAAGGGGAACGATCACCAGTTCCCTCGGGATCAGAGTGGATCGGTTGTTCCTTTTCGAGGACCAGGATGCCCAAATTGATGTAGTGTTGGTGTCGTCTTAGTCGGTTTCGTGTCCGTCGGTATTCATTTTTGGCAGAGAGATGTGTGTGACCTTTTCGGGGATCTAGAAGGGCGCTCCATAGCTGCCGCTGGGCCTCGAGGGAGCTCCGTAGGATCCGGAGGGGGCGCTGGGGTATCCACCACCGCCACCACCGCCTCCCTGCTGAGTGCTCTGCTGGGCGAACTGGGCCACCTGGATGGCCTGGCGCACGCCCTCCAGATCGATGCCCACCACACGGCCGCCACCGCCTCCGATGCCGGGGGCTCCGTAGCTGGTGGAGGGGGGACCGTAGCTGCTGGAGGGGCCGCTTGGGTAGCCACCGCCGCCGCCTCCACCGCCGCCTCCGCCGCCACCGCCCTGCTTGCTCTCCTCGTTCAGCAGGATCTGACGAATCTGCTCCAGCAGCTGCTGATCGACGTTCTGGCCCTCGGAGGTCTGGAAGCCGCCGCTCACGGCCTGGTAGCCACCGCCGCCTCCACCGCCGCCGCCGCCTCCGAAGCCACCGCCGAAGCCGCCTCCGAATCCGCCGCCACCGCCGCCGCCTCCGCCGCGGGGATAGTTATATCCGGATGGTGGCTCTGCCGCAGCCAAAGCGGCCAGAGCGAACACTAAGAACTGGAAAAGAGGAAGGAGGGGTTAGTGAGTAGTCCTTGTAGGTTAAGTGAAGTCTAGAACCTTTTCAGGGACTTTGGTTAGATGATTATGAACTTAATTGTATAATCATTAAAAGAAATACTCTTTAAAAATATGATTTCCAATCTTCAAATCTTTAGAAAATGTTTTATAGGAGTTTTTCTGATTTTAAAATTTAAAATCTTTGCGTATATTTAAAGAATTTAATTAAATCCTCTGCACTCCTTTTTGTAATACCAAATCGTTTTTAAATCCGTTTATAGTCCGTTATCCGTTTAGGTTCGATGGGTTGGTCTTGGAATCTTCAAGTCTTCACTTACCACTGAGAAGGAGTTCATAGCGACGATTGTGTTTGTTGGGGGGAAGAGTTGAGTAGAGTGGAGTAGAGTGAATTTGGTTGCTTCCGAGTGGGGAACCAGCGACTGAATGCATCTCCCTGGCCAGCAGAGCCACTCTTTATACCCGTTGGTGGTGTTCAGAGCTCTCCAGATCTTCGGGCCAACTCGTCCACTCGGCAACAACGTCATTATCGCCAAACTTCGTTGGCAACTTGTTTTAGCTTTTGCCTTTGCTTTGGCCGCTTGGCGCTGCGCTTCTCACAATAAAACAAAATTTCCAAATGGAAAACAACCGCTGAACCGACAGAAGAAAAAAAGAAAAGGCCGAAAAAATAAAATGTCGCTAACGATTTTGGTATTTGAAATTTTCTTTGGCACTTTCCTTCGATTCGCGGTGGACCAGGAAGTGATTTTTCCCACCATCGCGATTGATTCCAAAGGTAAACAACCCACGAAGCCACTGAGATTTTTGGACAGCCCAAGAGGATCATGGAGGCTTCCAAAAATCTCTACATATAGTATATACATATTTTTTTGGCCATGAGGGATGGCTCCTCGAAATGACGAAACTGCAGTTCGCATTTCCCGTTGCCCAACTGCAGTTGCATTTCAATTGTGGGTAAGTCGCAACGTGGGCTCGTCATCCATCAGCATCAGCGTCACATGGGCACGAAGATTACGAAATGGGCTGGGAAATGCGAATCGGGGGAACTCAGGAGGGGCGCATAATAGGAGGCCCGAGTAGTACGAGTAATACGTATGATCGCGATGTGGAGCAGTAGGCCTGCTCTGGCACCACGGGGCGTATAATTAACGTTTCCCAAGGAGCCAAATTAAATTTACATTTGCAGATGAGTGGGGCAATCGCCAGAGCCCCATAAAATTCAATTAACACTATGACAATGTTTTATAAATATAGATAAAAGTATTTTATTTTAAAATTTTAGAAATATACACCTTACGTAAAGATAACTATAAAAACACCTGATTAATTTCAAGAATTTCCATTTTACGTTGGTTTAAGATTTGGTTTTTAATACAACATTCCTAGTATTTCCAAAATATGATATGTATTTAAAGGGTTAAGTTAAAAAAGAGGCCTGAGTAACGAGGGAATCTGGATTGCGGTTACGAAAACTACATGACCTCGAAATAACCTCGCAAACCAGAAATCGGCGCCTATTCTGACAGAAGTGAAAGAAGTCCCCGATGGAACGGACCAGGAGAAGGAGAGTCCATTGTGTCCATGTGCCCATTATGTCATGTCGCCGGATGAGCACCTGTGGAGTCGCAGATGGCGGCCACAAAAAGGTGCGATTAAAAAACACAATGAAAGGGAAGACGACTGCATTCGACTGGAAATGAAACTGGCAGTAAATTGGAGTAAATGAGGTTTATTTACATCTCGACACACACTTTCGCGAAGAGCCCAAACCGGCAATGACTTTGGCTCCGTACAGAGAAAACTTTTCTCTTAAGAAGGTAACCAAAATTACTAAGCTTTTAATTTATTACCTGTCGATATTAAAACCCTAGCAAAATTAAAAAAATTAAATATAGAAGTCTTGAAATAATTATAATAAAAACTAAAGTGTTAAAGGCACATAAAAGTTTTTCAATTATGAAAAGATAGAAAGATAGATAATATGGGAAATTATTTTAAAGAGTTTTAAAAACTGAGAGAAAATCAGTATAAAAAAGGATATATAGTATAGACTTAAATTTAAAAAAAATGTTTTAAAGATCGGGAAGGAAAAGGAAGTATAATTGTTGTAAGAGATCATCTTAAAGATGGATTAGGGGAATATTTTAAATGTTGTAAGGTTATTTAATAAACCTTTTTCTGAGTGTACTGAGGGCGTCGTGGCTCTTTGGAAACCTTCACGCTCCAAAGTGAAGGACTTGCGGCGTTGCGTGTCTCCCTGCGTTTTGGGGCACGATCTGCAATTGGAGTTAGGGTCTTTCGATGGGACTGCGAATGGGGATGGGTATTGGGTTCGGTTTTGGTTGTCGGTTTGGGGGCAACAATGAGATGAAAGTCAACACTTCACACTCGATGGCGGAGGCAGCGGGCTGCAATGACAGTGCGCTAAATCATTTTCGTGGCTCTGTCTCGGAACTGAACTGAACTGTTTTGCTTTGTTTTGATCAGCTGTGGCTGCCACTGCCACTGTCGTTAATTCGGTTTATTGTGGTCGAGAGATTCCGGCGAAGGTCTCTCACCCAATCGATGGCGTAATTCACTTTTTGTCGGGCTTCACTTTCGGCCATGTAATTGGAGTAACGGGAAAAGGTCACCTACCACAAAGGCGCCTTTTATTTAATTAATATAAAAATAACCTATTTCAAACTTTAAATAGCGGTACCCCTAGCCAAAGTTAAAAAGAAGAAAGATGGATGGTCCTTTGGATATTTTAAATAATATAAAAAATGACCTATTTCCAACTTTAAATACCGTTACCTCCAAGCAAAGTTAAAAAGAAGAGAGATGGATGATCCTTTTGATATTTGGTTTCCATTATTAAGTTAATCGTGGGAGTTGGAGTTCAGTAATAACTTCTTATTCATTAGCATTGCCTTTGTTTTGGTTTTTATCGTGGCTCTGCTTATTTTTAGCCCGCGTTTTTGCAACTTTAATGAACGCTTTATTATACATTGTGGCCTATCTGAACATATCCATCATTAACACGTCTTCCACTAGGTCAACTTTGGATTCGGACAGTGATGGCGATGGCTTTGGCTCTTGGTTTTGGCTCATTTTGCCAGTCTTTTTCTCTGCTTCGCCTGTCTTTTTAGCCCGAATCCAACTATCCAACCATTATGCCTCTGTGTGTGCGTGCGTAATTGTTATGACACTATAATTGGGCCAGCAATAGCAAAGCAAAGAGATCCGAAATAAAAACAAAATCCCCTCAGACGAAAAAGCTGCCAACTGACAGACGCGCGTAAATTTTCAAATCGAATTCGCAAAGCCTCGTTTTCATTTTCAATTCGTCTTTTTCAGGGGAGCAACGCCCACGTCCCCGCCACAAAAATCAATTGCAAGCCATTTTAAGTTTGTTTGATTTTATTAAAGCGGTAGTAGAGCAAATGAAATATAAAAGGAAACAGAGCTATAAAATAATAATAATATAGTTAACTAATATAATATAATAATAATAGTAATAAAGATATAGCAATTATTGCAATTATTTTTCCAAATGAACAGCCAACATGACGTATGCGCAACATAGGCAATTAGCATAGTTCTAACGTTTTAGACATCTGCTGAATATGAATCTGAATCTTTGAAAATGCTAATCGACAGATGGATTCACAAAAACTGCCTAGATGATTAATGATAAAGAGGGGTAATTTTTCACAGTCGCCGATGAGGCTGATGGCGCGACAAAAAGCTGATTATTCCGGCCTATTGATGACAAAGTTGTAATTGCTGCTGCAGATGATGAAGATGAGTCCGCACAATGTTTGTTAATGTTTGCTGGTGTTTGGTGGCTCATTCTCCGCATCTGCAGGTCTTCAAGCCGGCGAACTACTGGACACTCCACACAGGTTACATAAGACAGCGCCCCCAGCAGCAGTGGCCATATATTACACAGGGAAAATATAAGACTACTATATTATTCATGTGCATTTCTAATCCATGTCTACAGCTAAAAGATAAACTATTAGATCTATCGGCTCTGATTGCATTTAAAGTAATTTATTTTATTTCAGTTGTACAGATTGTTATCGCAATGTTTGAAGGTTTGTCATACAGTTTAAAAAAGTTTAAAATGTATAGCAAGCGAAACATACATTTTAAAAAAATTGGCTAAAATGTATTAATTTTGTATGACAATATTATATATTGAAAAGGTGTAAGTATAAATAATTTTAGTATTTCAACGTATTTCTTAATAAAATCAATAGTTTTTGTAAATAATATACATCCATTTACTAATATTTCATTGGGAATAATATTTGTTTAATCATTCTATCCTAATATTTCCTAAGGTACTGACAAATATTTGACTGCAATAACCGTGTAGTTGTATTACCCGTACCAAACATCCACCTCCCCATCCAGCTGATGATCATCGAGAGTGCCCGCCTCCACTCCGCTCCGCCACCTCCATCACCTCCTTTTCACCTGGGCCAAGTGACGCTTCTGTCGTTTCCTCGTCGCGGGCAGAAACGGGTTTGGAATTTGGCGTGCGAGGTGCTCCTCGCTTTATGTAAGTCAAGCGCGGAGACCGAGACATGGAGCTGCAGCCCAACGACGCAGTCATAGTCATGGAGTTGGAGCATGGAACAGGGTACTTGGAACTTGGAGCCGGCTAGCGGGCAGATGAGCAGACCTGGTGGCGGAGAGGGAGTGCAACAAATGCAATGCGAACCGGCAAAATGGGCAGCAGCAATAAATATATTTTTTACTTAAATAATAAATAAATATTAATAAAAATCCAAAGATATTTATTAGATTGGAATTTAATATATTATAAGAATTTATTATGATATTTAATATGTTTGAGTGATTAGTTTACATTTTTTTAAAGATCTAACTTTAAAACTTAGTTTCCAAATCATTTGATCGGGGATAGATAATTTTTTTTTTAAGCAGTTCGCCTTTAAAATATTTTATAACCATTTCTAATGATTTTTTTTATGCCTATATGATTTATGTGATATTTTTTTTAAGTGCCGACAAAAGATGGCACAGCGTGCATGGAAAAGCTGCCGTTGAATGGAAAATTGCTGCGACACGTTTTCGCCTGGGTCCGCTGAGATAGTATGAGGATAGTATGGGGATGGGATCTGTGACCGGTCTGAGTCGGCGGTGGTCTGGTGTCGATGACTGTGTGTCCATGTCTGGGCCCCTCGTTTGTTTTCCGCAAAAAAAGACACATTCGTAGTTGGATGCAGAATCCAACTTTAGCCTTTGGGTGCTAACCGTTCAGTTGGCTTATGCAAAAATCCACATCCTCAGCTGTTCCGCGATGAGGCAATAGATGCCAGACAGTCTGACCAGTTGATCCACTCGCCATGTGGTCATCTAGGTGTCTTGGAGTAACGGTGGTTCCATTCTCGACGGCGGGGTAAAAGTAAAAGTTCAAATGCTCAGCCAGCGGGGGAGGAATGGTAATCAGTGACCACAGATCGATGGGGCAGCTGGCTATTTTGGCCATCTTAATTATGCCACGATTTCGCACGGTCAACTCATCTGCTTTCTGGCCATGGAGATGGAGATGTGCCCCATTGCGCGCATTTTGCCATTTTGTTTTTCTGTTTTTTTTTTGGCAAGAGCGCGTAAAGTGGCAAAGCTGAAAATATAAATGGTTTTACGAGAGGGTCTAAATGAGTTAATTAGGTTTTGCTGTCGAGAGGTCTTAACCAACACGAGTTGGCCATGGCAAAGCCAATGAAGATATCAGGGAGGGGGTAATATGTAGGTGTATGGATACATTAGTACAACATGAACCAAGTTAACTTGCAGATTTTTGGTTTACTTGAGTTATTAAGGTTGCTACAAGACTTTTTAAACGAGGTAACCTTTATATGTAGGAAGCGCTTGAGAACTGGTTTGATTCTTTTCCATTTAGAACCAATTACAGGGAAAAAATTTAAAACTAACTGAAAGTTTTAAATGTACGTGGAGATAGATATTTATTTAAATATATGTAAAGAAATATTTAAAAATTGGGTTTAAAATAGCATGATATCGAAAAATACAAAATTTCACCTAAATAGTGAAAAAAATTTTAATTTCTTTATTAGATTTATTTTAAGATTAAAAATTAGACATTTAGTAAAATATTACGCCATTTTAATAGGACTTATATTTTACTAAGGATATAATATAATAAATATAGTTTAAAGCTCACTTTGTGCCCATGTGTTTACATTTAAGAACCCCTAATCTAAAGCTCGTTATGGATATGCTTGGAGATATACACGTTCAGATCCTGAGGCAGTTTGCACTGATCCAACTCCTTGGCTAGGGCAAAGTACCTCCACCTAAGAATGTGGGCCACTTCCTTGGGCTGTCGATTTCTTGTAAATACTCCCTTTTTGTTTCCGCCCACGCGGGTTATAGCTGAAATAGAATACTCAGTTTTCTGAAAACTGAAATTCGAAAAAGGTTAGGAAAACTCACTCTGCGCCGTCCGGAAATCGGCAAAGTTCCACACGAACTCTCCAATGAACCACTTCCGCTGACGAAGCTCGTCGAAGGCCTTAAAGTGCCGGGAGAACAGCTCAACCTGGTATTCCTCCGACCAAATGAAGGCAGGAAGCTTTAAGGAGTTATTAGCAATCGAAGGAACTTATAGTCTGAATTCTCACCGAGTGCATGCCCTCCATGGTATCCCCTCCGTACTCGAACTGGATGACTGGCTTCTGGAACCTATCCCGCCAACTCTGTGCCTCCGCCGTCAGCAGGTTAACTATCATGTCTGTGCGACCCGAGTTCTGATACCAGGAGTTGTAGCGATTGAAGCCCACGATGTCCAGAAACTGCGCCAAATGGCAGGTGGAGGGACTCGCATTGATGGCCGCCGTCAGAGGACGTCCGTGGGCAATGCTCCTGGTGTAGTTCACCAGGGATCTTTAAAAGTGTAAATCGAATCCCTATTAGCTTATATTTATACTCTCTACTTTATACCCACTCGAAGTATTTCAGGGCTCCCTGCTTGCTCGATCTCGGCTCATTGGCCACCGACCAGGCCACCACGCTGGGATGGTTCCTGTCCCTGTGGATCAGTTGCTCCAGCGAGGCCATGTGCTGCTCCAGCAGCTGCGGCTCAAAGATGTCAATGTTGACGGCCGGACACTCGTCGATGATCATAATGCCATGCTGATCGGCAAACTGCATCGACTCCTCGGAGTAGGGATAGTGCGAGGTGCGGTAGGCGTTGGCTCCAATCCACTTCAGCAGATTGAAGTCGCGAGCCAGGAGGGCATTGTCCAATCCCTTGCCCCTTATCTAAAACAGGAATACTGAAATTGGTCAGTGATTACACAAAAATAAAAAGTTAATATGAAATAGGGTCAATTGTACCTTGTTTCATATCAAAATGATATGAATAACTTGATCTTTTAACAGTATAAAATTGACCAGCACAATCAATGTGATCTTTTGTTAATTATTTTTCTGTTTAGAGACCTAAGTTAATGATCATTACTATTACTAATAAAAATGAGATATGAAATAGGGTCAATTTTTTCCTCATTTCATATCAAAATGACATGAATAACTTGATCTTTTAACAATTAATATGATCTTTTAACAAGTGGATATAAAACATATAATATATAATATAAAATTGACCAGCTCATATCAATCTGATCTTTTGTTAATTCTTTTTTCTGTGTAGGGACCGAGGTATACAAAACCCACATCGGAATCCTCGTGGCGTCCAAATCCCCGCAGATAGAGGGGTTTCCCATTGAGCAGCAGACTATCGTTGCTCCAACTTAGACTGCGTATGCCCACTGGCAAGTGGTAGACATCCTGCAGAGAATGCTCTTCCTCACCAGCGATAAGCTCGAACCGGAGATCGTACAGGTAACCTGGGTCGGGATGCATCAGGTAGGGCCACCAGGGATTAGCCTTAGGCACTAAAAGTGTTCCATGGTAGACTGCCTTGTTGATCTGCTGGGCAGCCACCTGGCCATCCCGGTCCCTTAGCTCCACTAGGAGCTGGGTAGGCTGACCCTCCTCCCTACCATCCAACCACAGGCGGTAATCGATGCGACCCAATCCCTCTGCAGTTAGTTGGGTGGTCACCTCCACGTCGCTGATGTGGAGCAACGGGGTGGTGTACAAGTGAACGCTCCTGTGGATTCCCGCGTAGTTGAAGAAGTCAAAGGTGTAACTCTGGACGGGCACAGTGCCCGCATCCGTGGCCACCTTATTCACAGAACCCTGGGGAATGGTGCGATTGCCCAGGCGATTGTCGCACATCACAGTGATCCTGTTCTCCCCGCCAAAACGGAGCAGTCGCGAAATCTCCGCCTCGAAGGGCAGGTGGCCAATGGAGTGACTGGTGGCGTTTCTTCCGTTAATCCAAACCTCGGCAAAGTAGTGGACGCTACTGAAACGCAGCCAGGTGCGTTGGTTCCCCTGCCAGGAACTAGGAACAAAGAAGGTTCGCTCATACCAGACGGTTCCCACGTGATCCCGTAAGTTATCCGTGGTGATGTCGTTATATGAGGCGGGCACAGGCATGGGAATCACCTCTCTTCCCGTCTTTCGCAAAGTATTCGCAAACCACTTCTCCCTGATTCCCTGGAGGGGATCAGCCGGGTCACTTCTCACCAGACGCCACATTCCATCCAGGCTTCGCACTTCGCGGGTCTCCGATTCCCTGGGATACAATAGTCCCCTGGTGGGTGTGGGTCTTTTCACCCCATCATACTCAAACAAAGGGAATTCCTTCGCTTCTTCGGGGAATCCCTCTATCCCGTCTTGGGTGGCGACTCCTTGGAGCTGGAGAGAGATCATCACCAGCAAGGAGGCGGGAACCCAAAGCCATCTCATCGGAAAAAGGGATTCGGATTAGGTGCCTCCTAAACAAATTGTTTTGGTACTGACTAATTACAATTTAACGACTATTTATAATCCAATTGGATTCGCTCTTCTTCTTCTCCCGGCTTCTGATAAGAACAGTTGCAGTGTGACCATTTATTATATATTAATAATCAAATTTTAGTATTAGTCTTTCTTTTTAAAATTAAAATAATAATAAGAATAATATAATAATAACAATAATAAAATATAATAACAAATAATAATAATCGATTTTTTCCATCTCAGTGTTAGGGGCATTCCTACTAGACTCTAAGGTGGAGTAAAATGGTAACACTGTCCAAAGGTTCAAACTAGAGGTGAGAGCGTACCTAAAATATGACTTAATTAAAAAAGAACCTTCGGAAAAGTAAAACATGAAAGTGGGTTAAAAATAATCTACAATTGCAGTTTAAGATTCCTAAACTGCCTTATAAAATTAAGACAAATCCAAATTAGATTAAATGAATGGAGTGCTTTAAAGTATATTTTTATTTTTTTTAACACTTTTTCCATTTTATAATGGCTGTGCTCGTGACGTGTTTTTAAAAGTTGTTGTCGTGCGTGACGAGTTCGTGCTCTCAAAATATATCGCCTCGCTCGTGCTGGAAAAGAGAAGCACGCGCTCATCCCTGGAAGTTCGTACTACGTGTAAATTGGTTAAAAATAAAAAATATTAAAACGCCCTGATAGAGCCACCCCTCCCATTCCAGACTGGGAAATCTCGATGGCAAGGCAAACAACTTCGTTCGGCTAACAAAACCCGGCTAAATTCCAGCGTCACCGAGACAAAAGAGGACATTTTCGGTTTGCGAGCGACAGATTCCGATTCCGAATCCAAATCCGATTCCCCGAGCGACTGCCTTTTATGTGAGTGGGGGGCAGGCAGCGATCCCGGCCACAATTAACATATTCCTGGAGTCCATCAGCCAGCTGGCGGCCCTGGCGACCTCGAGCGGCATCATGCAGCTGCTCCTGTCCTCCGTTTGCATGGCCCTGACCAGCGCGGTGATCGGGAATGCCTACTACCAGAAGCAGCAGTTCTACCCGGCGGTGGTGTACATCACCAAGTCGAACGCCTCCATGGCGGTGGGTTATCTGAATATGCCCTTATCATGCCCAGACTTAAACTTAACTTTGCTTGCAGGTCATCTACATACAGTTCTTTGTGATTGTCTTCATGTTTGGCAAGCTGCTCCGCAAGGTAAAGTCCTCCCTGCAATCCCACATTAACCCAGCTAACCCAATCCCCTCCAGATCTTCCTGGGCACGCTGCGCGCCGCCGAGTTCGAGCACCTGCTGGAGCGCTTCTGGTACGCCCTCACGGAGACCTGCTTGGCCTTCACCGTGTTCCGGGATGACTTCAATCCGCGCTTCGTGGCCCTGTTCACAGTGCTGCTGTTCCTCAAATCATTCCATTGGCTGGCCGAGGAGCGGGTGGACTTCGTAAGCTAGAGGACTCTTTTATTAAGATGTATCTACTATACTGTAATCCCCTCCAGATGGAACGCTCGCCCGTGCTCGGCTGGCTGTTCCACATTCGCGTGGGCAGCCTGCTCACCATGCTGGGCATCCTGGACTACGTGCTGCTGATCCACGCCTACAACTCCACCCTGGTGCGCGGACCCACTGTGCAGCTGGTCTTCGGCTTCGAGTACGCCATCCTGCTCACCGTCATCGCCAGCACGGCCATCAAGTACGTGCTGCATGCCGCCGAGATGCGCACGGACACGCCGTGGGAGAACAAGGCGGTGTTCCTGCTCTACACGGAGCTGGTCATCGGCCTCATCAAGGTGGTGCTCTACATCCTGTTCGTGGTCATCATGGCCAAGATCTACGCGCTGCCCATGTTCGTGTTCCGGCCCATGTTCTTCACCATCCGCAACTTCCGCAAGGCGCTGAACGACGTCATCATGTCGCGGCGGGCCATCCGCAACATGAACACCCTCTATCCGGACGCCACGCCCGAGGAGCTGCGCCAGTCGGACAACATCTGCATCATCTGCCGCGAGGACATGGTCAACCACTCGAAGAAGCTGCCCTGCGGCCACATCTTCCACACCACCTGCCTGCGCTCGTGGTTCCAGCGCCAGCAGACCTGTCCCACCTGCCGCCTGAACATCCTGCGCACGCCGGCCGTCAATTCCACAGCGATGCCGCGTGCAGGAGAGGAGGCAGCCGGCGCAGCTGCTGGCGGAAATGCTCCGGCTCCAGCTGCAGCACCGGCTGGTGGAGTTCCTCCTGCTGCTCCTGCTGCTGGAGGCGATGCCAATGGGCCCCTGCCCGCAGGTCAGCCGCCCAGCTTCGCGGATCTCTTCGGCGATGCCGGTGAGTTTTTAATTTGAATGGCTGAATAAATATTCTAAGCCTTACTTTTCAGCTGGCCTGCCCAATGGATTGCCCAACCTGGCTGGTCTCTCGATGCCTCCGCCGCCCGTAATGCCCATGCTCTCGCCCTTCATGATGCCTCCGCAGTTTGGCTGCTTCTCGCCGCTGCCGCCGCCGCCGATTCCACTGGACCTGACCAAGTTTACGGACGAGGAGCTGCGCGCCATGGAGGGTCACCAGCGGGAGCAGATCGAGCAGCGCCTGAAGGTGGGATTGTGCTAATCTCTAAGATCTCTAATCACTTACTTAAATATCTTATAGCTGCTACAAAACATAAACCTCATGCTGGATTCGGCGGGGATTATGATGTCCCAGTACCAAAGTCTGGCCAGCCGTTTGCAGCTCACTGCAGTGCCGCCAGCTGGAGCTAATCCTCCCAGTGCAGATGCCGCTGCAGGGTCGTACGACAAGCCCAGCACCTCGGCCTCGGCCATGGCCCAGCTAGAGGCTCACCAGGTGACGCCCACGACTGCAGCGAATCCTCCATTGCCCGCAGAAAAGGTGACCATTGAGGATCTGGGCGCGGACGCCGACGAGGACGACGTGCCATCGACGGCCACGGAGGCGGTGAGCCTGCCCAGCTCCGACGCCGACTTCGAGGAGAACTCCTCGGAGCTGGGCGAGCTGAGGAAGCGGCGCTTGAAGTTCCTCGAGGAGCGCAACAAGTTCTCAAGCGAACGCACGTCGGCGGAATAAACACTGAAGTCTTCACTCCCGAAAAGAAAAGAAACCTCATCCCTCATCCCACTAGAAAACATAAACAGAACGTGCTTGCGTTAATCACATCTTCTATTCTCTTTGCTGGTACTGATTTTGTTTATACTCCGCTCCTCATCCGCTGTTCCTGACTCCCTGACTTCTCCTTTCTACGGCTTGCGATATGGGAATATTACGACGATGACGACAAAGACGACTACGATGCCCCCGAAATTCACACACCGAAGCATAAAACGAAGGATCTGAGTGTGAACCAAGTGGCGGCATCCAAATCCAATATGTAGCAATGCGTATTGTGTAAAAACTATTTTAGAGATGGGAAACTGATGATTTGTATTTAATATTACTATATGTGTATAATTAATGTGAAATATAATTAAAAACGAAGAGAACGATGAGTGGATTAGGGCTAAACGACAAGTACACTAGAGGGCCTGTTTCGATTTTCAGCTTCACAGAATTCGTTTGATTTAAAGTACATGAAAATCGAAACAAGCCAAGATCTAAACTACGCACTAAGTGTAAATAAATTAAGCGACGCGTACACTACACATAGATAACAACAGTCGATCGTCTGGCGCCGCGGGCGTGGAAGATTTGCATCTGCACGTCGCCGCATCAAATCCGCGACTCCAGCTCCCGGAACTCGCCCGGATCCGTGAAGCGCACGGTCAGGATGTAGAAGAGCGTGGGAAAGGGCACGAGGCACATGAAGGCGTAGTGGTAATTCAGCGACGTGATCCCATAGGCCAGCAGCATCCAGTGGACAGCTGTGAAAGTAAACTTGTAAGAGATTTTATAAAGAAAATATAATATTTTCCAACCTATAATGACCACGTTCTTGAGCTCCCACACCGAGGAGTGAACCAAAGCCTTCAGCGTTTGGTCCAGTTTGAGGGAATAGTGGATGGCATTGGCCACCATGGAAATGGCCACGCTCAGGTAGGGAAAGGAGTAGTCTGCAAGGGGAAAGCATTTAATAGAATTAGAAATTTCAAAGCTAGCTAACTACTAGAGCCCTGCGAAAATCATTCAATTTTTGTTTTATCATCATAATTTCTGATTTGTTTATCTTAATTCTATTTGAAATATATTTAATGTTTTTCTAATTACATTTCGAATTAAATAAATGAATGAATGAATAATTTTTATGATTTTTTTTAATTTGCCAGATTTTGTTTGTGCTTTCTTTTAAAAACAAAAAAAAAATGTTAACTGCTTAGTAAATAAAATTCAGGCAGATTTAATCACAAAATTATGGGCTCTTTCTTCTTCAAAAGAAATTGTCGCTTAAGTTATTTCGGAATTCATGCAATTCATTCATTCTATTCTATTAAACTATTAAAAAATTCGAATTAATTCATTCATATAAAACAAAAAATTCAAAATAATTGAATTCATTCACGCAGGGCTCTACTAACTACTCACATATCAAACCACATCCCAGAGCGTGGATAAAGGTCAGGAGGGGCAGGAAGTAGAGGGCCGAGTAAATGGGCGCCTTGCTCCTGCCCCCCACATCCATCACCTTGCTCACCAGCGGCCGGATGAGAAACATGTTGACCAGGCACAGAAAGTAGAAGACCAGCACGATGGTCTGCAGCGGATAGACCGCCTCCTGGGTGCAGTAGACCCGGGCCTCGTAGTTGGGACTGGGATTGTAGAACAGCGTGTACCAGTCGGTCAGCTTCCGCACGTCGCAGGCGTACAGGCGCAGCTCCCACATGGGCTCCATGAACAGGGTGGCCAGGACGGCGGACAGGGCCACCTCCACGAAGGCGCTGGCCGTCAGGATGAGCTGCTTGCGGGAGAACTTGCGGTCCTTGGCGTCCATGTCGATGAAGAAGCAGTGCATCATGAGCGGCAGCATGGTCATGAAGCCCAGGTAGAGCCAGGAGTACGTGGTCAGTTCGTCGCGGCACGGGGAGCAGGCGTAGGCCTCGTTCACCTGGATAAGTGGGTGGATGTGGATGTGGATTCAAGAGGCTGTAACCAGGTGGCAGTTACGCTACTCACCCGGGATCCTCGGGGACAGACCCCGCAGCTGCTCCAGGTGTCGTTCCCCAGAGGCGATCGCCCGCAGTAGGCACCTGGGCAGCGTTCCAACGCGTCGTACATTTCTATTTTATTATTATTCGAGTACCGAGGCCATTATAGTACAGGTGAGAAACAGTGTTGCCAGATCAAAATTCAGCTTTCCCCCTAAAAAATCTCAAGCAGTCCATATTTCCCCCTAAATTCAAAAAATCAGGTAATTTCGAACATGTGTAATAAATTAGAAATATTTCAATATGACTTTGTAGAAATGTTAACATTCGAAAAATCTGTGTACTTATTTTGATAGTTTTGAAATGTTTTAGGAAGTCACAATATTTAGTGTTTTTTGCAAACAAATATAACATTTTCAAAAAAAAAACCCCCAACTTTACCCCTAACAATTTCTGCCCCCTAAAATTTCCTAGCGTCAAAAAACCCCTAAATCTAGGGGAAAAAGTGTTCTGTGTGTTTTTTAAAATTGTTTAGAAACATCGATGTTTTTGTCACATTACCAATATAATAATTGCTAAAATTTTCTATATAGTTTTTAAGTAAAAAATTTTAACAAATAACATTAAAGAATACCAAAAATATAAATCAATTAAAATACAAGATAAAAAGCCCCCTAATTAAAACCAGTTCGATAGGCGCCGCTTCGCAACAGTCTGGCAACACTTCAAAAAAAGCACCAGATGAACCGCGCGAACCGGTTCAGTTCAAAACTAGTTCGCCCGAACTCCACAACCCTAGCAAAAGAAACTAAAATATAATTAATTTAACGCGAATTACGAAGCGAGCGGACAGGAAAGACGCCGTGGCAGCCTCACCCCGCCGCCCCCGCAGGAAACGCAGCCTTTCGACGTCGGCCAGGCAGGTAAAATCGCAATTGCAATCGGGCCGCAGAACAACAGCAACGGCAGACGCCATTTTGTCTATTGGCCGGCTGATTTGTAAGCTCAAAATTCGCGAAATAGCGAAATAGTTACCGCGACTAGTTTCGAGTGCGCAGCCAATTTGGGGCTCCCCAATTTTCCAGGGCGAACGGAAAGCGGAAGGAAAAGCGATCGCCTTTTGGGGCTGCGAAAAGTGCTCGTTCGACTTGGTTTGCAAAAAATAAATGTACGTGCGTGTGAGCGAGTGTGCGTGCGTGCGCGTGTGTGTGTGAGAGGGGCCAGTGAAAAACAGTGAAAAATAATAAAAAGCCGCACTGGCTGCCGTCCTTGGGTGACTTCCGTTACTCTCCCACAACTCTGGAGGAGATTGGAAGAAAGTGAGAGATTTCCCGCCCCACAGCCCCCCAACCCCCCCGCCGCCACACCCTTTAAATCGCGTTCGATTCTGCATCGTTTTCGGGGCTGCAGCTTAAAGTCTTTATGCGTAGTTATTTTCAGCACCCAACCCCACCACCCCTTTTCCGCCCACTTGCTCCACCCACCGACCGACATTCCGCCTAAGGATGTTGCCGGGCGGAGGAGAGAGGGAGAGAGAGCGAGTGGGAAAATCCGTAGACTTGGACGTGATGTAATTTTCGGCAGCAGAAATGTTCTTTGTTTGCCCAAAAAAAAATAACAATAAATAAATAAGAATGAAGAGTGCGGCGTGAAACAAAAACAACATTAAATTAAATTCACTCACATACGCAAGAGAAGGAGAGGGAGTGGTGGAGTGGTGTGGGTGAGCGGTGGTGAGAGCGTAATTTGTGTGCTTTTGGAGCATTATTTGGCGCTTGCTGCCCCCGTCTATTAAATAATATTGATTTTTCATATTCCAACCCAGCGCTCTCTCACACACACAGTGACACTCTAACTCTTGTGTGTGAGTGTGCCTCTTTCGGTCTCTCCTTTAGCGCCTGTATTTATCCGCCTCTCTCTCTCTCTGCTTCTTTCTTCGTTCTTCGTTGCAGTTTATAGATTTTTGCAAACTGTGGCCGCTGACCAGGAATATGTAAACGCAACGCAGGAGGAGCCACTTCTCACTGAGGACAGGAAAAAGGACAATAGGAGCGCTGATCCTCTCGAGAAACAGCGAGCTGGACAAGGAGTAGTCTGATACCTCACAACTGCCATAGGAACCCAGCCAAAAACCGAAAGCCGCCCAGTAGGATTAGCCAGGCCCACAGATCTAGATCGACCGCTTCCGGTGCTGGAGAGGATTCCCATCCGACACCATGACGTTCGACACGCGGCGGGGCACCACGGCCACCAGCAGTAGCAGCACCACCACCACCACCACAACGAGTCCGGCGCAGAGTGCGGGATCGGGAACGGCGACAGTGACCACCTCGAGTTTGCCAGGAGGAGGGGGTTCGAGTAACCTAGACAGCCAGGAGCAACAGCCGGCGGTCAGCAGTCAGAGCTCCGATGACGTAGCCGCCTCCTCGTCGGCGGGCAGCGTGGAAAGCACCGTCACACTAGTGTAAGTGGGAGTGGCGCCGTGGATTCGGATTCGCATGACTCCGCCCAATTATCCCGGTTTTAGTGCGTAGTTTATTGCACTTAATTAGCCAGTGGAAAGTAGCACCACTAGAAAAGAACCCCGTGTGTTTACTTTTGCGCAGTTTCCTCCTCCACCTGCATTCTTTGTTTGCTTAGTAATGGACTCATTAAAATATGCTCCAGCTGATTTTGGACTGCCTAATTCGAGTGGTGGCGTCACCAGTTCCCCAGTTCCATTACAATCCAATCCAGAAACGTGATAGTGTTTATCTATCGCTCAATAGATGATGCACTGGGTACCTTTCCAGTTGTTGTCCCAATGAATCCACTACATTGGTATTAATGTATTTACCCTACGCGGCTATTATTGTCTCATTTTGGAATACCCGTGCAAGCTTTATCTTATCGCCTGTCCATCATGATTAGCTGACACTGAAAAAGCCCCCAAAAATTCAAAATTATACGGTCCGTTCTTGAAATCACTTTCTCAGAAATTACATATTTTTTCAACTAGAAAATTAATAGATTTCTGACCTTTAATCTTATTACAAAAGCTCAAATGTTATGTTTTATATTGCTACTAATTATACTTGCTAATATTTAAAGTAATTTATTTAATTAGCACCTGCCCATCATGATTAGCTGACACTGAAAAGGTCCCCAAAAATTCAAATTTATAGGGTCCGTTCTTGAAATCACTTTCTCTAAAATCACTTATTTTTTGTTCTAGAAAAATTAACAGATTTTTGACCTTTAATCTTATTACAAGAGCTCAAATGTTGTTACTAAATATACTTGCTAATATCTAAAGTAATTTATTTAATTCACACCTTTACAAAAATACAAAAATACGATATTCAACGCTTGGAACTCTACTAATTCAATTCCCTTTCCCCCACCAGGCCTCCAGAGAAGCTTATATCTTCGTTTCCCATTACGAAACTGAGATCGCTGACCCAGAAGATATCCAATCCTCGCTGGGTGGTGCCCGTGCTGCCCGAACAGGAGTTGGAGGTGCTTCTAAATGCCGCCATCGAACTGACCCAGGCTGGTAAGTCTCCGTAAATCCTCTACAAGAATCCCAAATACATCTACACCCCATTACAGGTGTGGATCATGATTGCGAGCCGTGCGTGGAGTTCTACCGCAACGGACTGAGCACATCGTTCGCCAAGATCCTCACCGACGAGGCCGTGAACTCGTGGAAGTACAACATCCACCACTGCATCCTGGTGTCCTGCGGCAAGCTGCTGCACCTCATCGCCATCCACATGCAGCGCGACAATCCCTACCTGCTGGACCTGCTGGCCATCGTCTTCGATCCGGAGAACAAGTTCAACACCTTCAACGCGGCCCGCCAGCCGGAGTGCTTCGCCACGGCGGACTGCATCTGGGGCCAGTTGGACAGCAACAAGATGTACGCCCGGCCGCCCGCGGAGCCCAAGAATGCGCGCGGCTGGCTGGTGGATCTCATCAACCGCTTCGGCCAGCTGGGCGGCTTTGACAATCTGCTGGAGCGGTTCAACAGCGGACTGGAGCTGCTGAAGCGGAACCAAAATAAGGGCAAGGCTGCCGAGAGTAGCGCCGAGGGAGGCGGCCAGGACAATCGTCTCACCCTCGCCCTCATCCACAGCCTCCTGCGGCCATTCGGCCAGTGCTACGAGCTGCTGACGCCCGCCACCATCGCCAAGTACTTCATGCCCACCTGGAACGTGGTGCTGGACCTCCTGGACAGCTTCACGGACGAGGAGCTGAAGCGCGAGGTGAAGCCCGAGGGGCGCAACGACTACATCAACGGGATCGTGAAGTCGGCCCGCTTCCTGGCCAGCCGACTCTCCGGCCAGGAGGAGCTGATCCGCGACCTGGAGATGTTTCGCCTGAAGATGATCCTGCGCCTGCTGCAGGTCTCCAGCTTCAATGGCAAGATGAATGCCCTGAATGAGATCAACAAGGTGCTCTCCTCGGTGGCCTACTACTCGCACCGATCCCAACCGCTGCCGCACTGCATGCCCGAGGACGAGATGGACTGGCTGACGGCGGAGCGCATGGCGCAGTGGATCAAGTCGTCGGACGTGCTGGGCATCGTGCTCAAGGATTCGCTGCACCAGCCGCAGTATGTGGAGAAGCTGGAGAAGATCATCCGCTTTCTCATTAAGGAGCAGGCACTGACGCTGGACGATCTGGATGCTGTTTGGCGGGCGCAGGCCGGCAAGCACGAGGCCATCGTGAAGAATGTGCACGATCTGCTGGCCAAACTGGCCTGGGATTTCACGCCCGAGCAGCTGGACCACCTCTTCGAGGCGTTTCAAGTGGGTTTTCTGTGATATAAAGTACAAAAGTGATCAGTTTTTAATTATCTAACATTTAATTGCAGGCCAGCATGACCACGGCGAATAAGAGGCAGCGCGAGAGGCTTTTGGAGCTGATACGCCGGCTGGCCGAGGACGACAAGAACGGAGTGATGGCCCAAAAGGTGCTGAAGCTCTTTTGGACCCTGGCCCACAGCCAGGAGGTGCCGCCGGAGGTTTTAGACCAAGCACTGGGCGCACATGTGAAGATCCTGGACTACAGCTGCTCGCAGGAGCGGGACGCACAGAAGACCATCTGGCTAGACAAGTGCGTCGGGGAGCTGAAGTCGGGCGACGGCTGGGTGCTGCCCGCCTTGCGCTTGATTCGCGA